TGACGTTTACATTAAAACTATCAAAATTTAATAAAATAAACACTCATTACGTGGAAATCACATCGAAATGAGAATTCATCTATCTTTTTCGAGAAGCTACAGAAGTCGACAAATCTTTAAAAGGTAAGGTTTTGTGCGTGCGTGCGTGCGTACGTGCATGCGTGCGTGCGTATGAAAAAGAGAAAGAGAGAAAATGTAAACGGATGTTTATGCGCGCGTGTAGTCAGCTGATCGTCGCGAGGGTCTCGCGTACCGCCTGCCGGCGGACAGTAAGTTGCGCCGCCCCTGTCTACCTTCCGTACGCGGCCCGTAATTCGCTAACTATTTCTCTTTATAACTTAAAAACTAAGCTCCGTACAAATTTTTGCCAAAGGAAAAATCGTCTCAGAATGTGGTCAGAAATACGTATGTTTAAGGACAATATATTTATTCTGAATCACCCTGTATAGTATTATACAGGGTGTCCCAAAATAAACTTTTGTCCTTAAAATGTCATATTATTGACTCAATTTTGAGAAGATTTATCCTTTATCAAAATTTTATCCGAAGCTTAGTTTTCAAATTACAACAAGAAATAGTTAACGAATTATGGGCCACGTATGGAAGGTAGACAGGGGCGCGCAACTTACTGTCGGACTCAGGCGGTACGCGGGGCCCGCGCGACGATCAGCTGACTGCTACACGCGCGCATACACATGACATTTTAAGGACATGCGATTACCTTTCTCTTGCTCACACACACACACACACACACACACACACACACACACACACACACACACACACACACACACACACACACACACACACACACACATCAATTACCTTGTAAAGATTCGATAACTTCTGTATAGATTCGTAAGAAATACGGAATTTCCATTTCGATGGACCACGTACAGTTCCAAATAAACATTTATTTTAATAAATTTTCGTTAATTTTAATGCAGACGTTATCACTAACTGACACAGATCAAATTATTATTTAGTTAATTCTTTTTTTTACATAACGTGTCACTTCAACATTTCACACTCGATTCACATACGAACAATTCACTGGAAATCACGAAAAATCAACTAATGCATCTATCCGTTACATACTTTACAATCATTGCCGATTAATTATCTATCCACTGAAACATCAAACGAGAAATACACGGCGATTTATTAATACACGACTCTTAATTATCTATTAATTATTACCTATTAATTATTCGTCGACTGAAAAATCATTCGAAGAAAGAAGCACGCAACAATTCACTAACACACGACGATTTACTGACACACGAGACGTTCACTCACATGTTCGTGTTTCGACAATGATACAACATAACCATAAAACCAATAAATTCAGTCGACTACTTGCTATTGTCGGGTGAACGTCTCGTGTGTCAGTAAATCGTCGTGTGTTAATAAATTCTGCGCGTGTTTCTATCTTGGAGTAATTTTTCAGTCGACGTATAATTAATAGACACGGGATTGATAATCATTAACTAATAAATTCGGTATTAAGTCAGTCGACTGCTTGCTATCATCGAGTGCACGCGTCATGTGTTTTTTTTCGAGTGATTTTTTTAGTCGAAAAATAATTAATCGATACAAATAATTAATTGACACTGATAATTATTAATTAATAAATTCGGTATTAAAGTCAGGCAATTACTTGCTATCCTCGAGTGAACGGGTCGTGTATTAATAAATCGCCGTGTGTTTCTTCGTGTGATGTTTCAGTGGATAGATAATTAATCGACAGTGATTGTAAAGTACGTAACAGATAGATGCATTAGTTGATTTTTCGTGATTTCCAGTGAATTGTTCGTATGTGAATCGAGTATGTGAATCGAGTGTGAAATGTTGAAGTGACACGTTATGTAAAAAAAAGAAT